AGCCGTCATTGTTGTTTGGCGGGTCCGGGCTGGGGATTCGAACCCGCCACCCTAGGTGTACGTGGCTGGCGCCCTAGCTGGTTGAGCTATAGGCGCCGAGCCAGCATTTCTTTTCTTTAGGTGTAACATCCATTTTAGTGGCAGGTATTACATTTAGTTGTCAGGTGTCTATGGCGTTCTTTATTCCGGAACATTTCCATTACCTTTCTTTCGTTTTTATGATCACACAATTTTAAAGAACATACGCCTCCCTGTCTTTAATGGGATGCTCCTGATTTCATGTTTGTCTGATGTTTCTTCCTGATGAGCTTGTGGTTCTTCATTCTTACTTGGGATACTGTATAGGCAACGTTGTGTTTTTCTTAGGGTGTCACATCTGTGGGGGACACTGTGTCCATCAGTCCCTCACTGGTGATGTAAATTTGATCACTCAATCAAGGTCTAACCCCATCTCTCCATGATATAATTACTATTTTTTTTTCTTGTAACTAATAAGCAGTCTGTAAAGAGATAGCTCAAGACCTTCTTAGTATCTGGCTGCAGACCCAGTTTTGACTCTAGAAGTATCGGAGTACTGGGCAGACATAAAACTTCTAGAAAAAAGCTAACTCTGTGGCCTCTGTGATATACAATTGAATAGTTGTTCCAATAATTTTGTCTCCTATTAAAGTTTATAGATTACTGATTTTTTTAAAACAAAAACAGGCCTTGCTGCATGCCACGCCCTGTGCTTCATATTTTGTGTTATCATTATTTCATTTCTTTAGCAAATATTCATTTATTGTCGGCTATGTGTCAGGTACCTCTGTGGACACTAAGGAAGTAGCAGTGAAAAAACAAGGGGCTGACACTTAGTTTGCTTTCCAGACAAGGCATTGTATTGAAAGATAGGAGTTGCCGTGCCCAGTTCACAGGTGTAGAACATGGAGGTCGAGGAGGTCAGGTGATTGGCCGAGTCACTTGCATAGTAAAAGGCTGGACCCTGCTTTTCCACCACAACGTACTGCCTCTCCATGCCATAGACTACTGGTCATACTAAGTCTTGTCATGCCTAAAAATCATAGTGGCTTTGGGTTGCATCAAATCTTTTTTTTTTTTTTTTGAGACAGAGTCTCACTCTGGCACCCTGAGTAGGATGCCTTGGCTCACAGAAACCTCAAGCTCTTGGGCTCAAGTGATTGTCTTGCCTCAGTTTCTGTATTTTTAGTAGAGACGGGGGTCTCACTATTGCTCAGGCTGGTCTCAAACCCCTGAGCTCAAGCAATCCACCATCTATCTGCCTTGGCTTCCCAGAGTGCTAGGATTATAGATGTGAGCCATGGCACCTGGCCTGCATCAAAACTTAGTTAAGAGCAGATCTTGGCAAAAGAGAAGCCATGATACTTGTGTGTACATGAGCAATGATTCTAGGAATGTGGCTGGGTATATATTAAATATAGACTGAGCCCAGTTCATGGGCTTGTCTGGGTCTAGTTTTCATCTCATCTTTTAATCTAATAGCAATACATTGAATGTTTTTTTGTTGATGCAGTGATTTACTAGCCAATTTCAGTGGTTCTTGAGACTTGCTACTGATATTAAGCATTTTGGTGGTTTCACAGAGAATGTTTAAAATGTCTTGCCAACAGTGTTTTAATGTAGAACTTCCTTTCCCCATCAGCAAAGGTGAAGTGTGTCTTCCAAGTTAATTCTAGATTTTCTGAGTAGATTTTTATTGAGTGATTGATCTCTTTATTTCACCTGTTGCTAGTTTTTCTCCATCTTATAGCACAAACACTTAGCAATTTCACTCACAGGGGGACCTGACTCAGGACACGTACCTCATCACAGTGAGTAGTTAGTGAGGTTTATGAAAGAGAGGAAAGAAGGAAGGAATGGGCTTTGGGAGGCAGAATTTCAGTGTCCTGCTCATCTGATGTACAAACCTTTGGCTCTTAACTGAGAGCTCCATCATTTAGATAAACCGTATCTTTTGTTCTTCTAAATGTACTTCCTGGGCTTGTCTAAACTCGGCCTCATCTGACACTTTTCTGCTTGCTTCTAAAGCTTCATGGGGTTTTCCTGAAGCAGAACCATGCTTACCATCATTGTATTATGTGGGGGAAAAGCCCAGTGCCCTCCTACAGTAGGAAATTTGATTTCCCCTCAATATATCAATCATTTGGTCAGTTAGGCCAGCCTCGCTTGCTTCTAACATTGAGTCTGTTCCCTCGGCCAATCTGCCATTAAACCAGTTGGTGTCAAGTTGCAGCTCTACACGAAGCCCAGTGCTCATCGCTGCGAGGTCCTCCCAGCCACCTGCTACTGCACACGTTCCTCCTAAGTGAATATTTTCTGCTCTAATCCAGCACTTTACATTACTATGCTGTATACACAAGATGTACCAAGTCCAACCTACCGTGGCACCTTTATTTAAGCACGCTGCTTTGAAATGTTCTTGAACTTTTACTTTAGTAGGATTTGAAAAGGCACACACCTGTGTCCATGATTTCAGGAGTACCAGGAAGACACAGACCCTCTAGAAAAAAAGATAGCTCTGCTCAATCTCCGCCTGCCTTACAATGTTTTGTGTTATTTTAATAGAACATAAGATTTTTTAATTTTTTTCATTTTTGGTTGAATGAGAGTCTCTTTGGTGTAAGGAATTTTTACTCTTTATCTTCCTTCTCTGGGGCAATGCTCTGTCCTTGACAGACAGATCTCTATGATTTTAAAAAGGTGATCGGGGAATAGCTGTGCCTGGTAGAAGAAGGAAGTCACAAGGAGACGGAAAAGAAAAGAGAGCGGCCAGTGCTGTGGATGACGCAGACCTTAAAGATGATCCTCATTTCTGATTTGGTTATTTTTATACTCTCTCAGCATAATCCTGCATCAGTTAGCTGGTATTTGCTGAGTACTATGCTGAAGTCAGCCTTGTTTTTGGTGTAGAGGACTAGAGTATGAAGGCTATGAGATTTTCTTAATTTAAGGAGTTTTTTTAAATTGTGGAGGAAAGAAGACTTAGATCTTGAAAACGTTGAGAGAAGAATATGATCTGATCTGCAATCCTGTGTCTGTTTTAGGTGCCTGGGGAGGCTGGGGATGGAGAGAGAGTTTGTTTAAGGAGAGGGAAGTTAACTTAGACTGTTTGGCAGTTTGGGATGTAGACCTTGTACCAGGAGACCGTTGGGTCAAGACAGCATGACTGTGGGCAGTCAGCACAGGAAAGTGAGGCCGGGATTCTGGTGCGGTTTGTAATGAGTAGCACACAAGTATCTGACTTTAAACATACACCGTGTGTGGGTAGTGCCAGCATCCCGCCAGGAAGAATTGCGACTTGCTCGCTCAGATGTGAATAATAAGGAGGGTGTCTGGGGATGACAGCAAAAACTAGAGGGAGGGCTTGCTTCTAGAAAGAATCAACCCTGAAGTGACTCGGGAGCGGTTCTAAGAAAGCCATTTAATTGGATAGGGATATTAATGATATTTTATTCTAAAAATATGTTTTCCCTTAGATTTGTGTCAAAGTCAGGAATATTTTCTAACAGCATTCCTCAATGATGACTAGGAAGAGGCATCTTAAATTTACACCAATTTGGTGATGGGTGCAAGGACCTTTATATTAGCTATTGCCCAATTTTTTATGCGAGTGGATTAGTGGGGTTCTTTATGGCCAGATAAAGAAGGCAGACCTGGATACGATGAACTAGAGTGTGTCCGTGGGGTGTCTGTTGTTTCTCTGTGTCCCTTTCATGCTGGTTTTTTAGGATTTGACCATCAGCAACTGTTCTCAACCATTCCTCATTCTCTGAGTTATCAACAGGGACCATGTGGTCAGCACCAGGCACCCATTGACAATGATGAATTCCAATTCTGTAGTTCTTGCCCCAAATCCCTCCCCACTTCCCAGTATTCACATTTCATCTCCATGTCCCTAAGTTTCTCATTCTCTGCATAGCTGAACTGAAGCTGTCAACTTCCGCTTGAACTCCTCCTATATTCTCTGTGGTTTTGAGTGGTGCCACCTCCCACCCAGTCTTCTTGCTGGAAACCAGGATTTCATCTTGCCCATCCTCTGTGGCCAATTATGGATTCTGCATGCTTTACTGTAACAAAATTCTCTTAGGCCAGGAGTGGTGGCTCATACTTATTATCCCAGCACTCTGGGAAGCTGAGGCAGGTGGATTGTTTGAGTTCAAGAGTTAGAGACCAGCCTGAGCAAGAGTGACACCCTGTCTCTACTAAAAATAGAAGAACTAGCCAGACATAGTGGTGGATGCCTCCAGCTAGTCTGGAGGCTAAGGCTAGAGGATTGCTTGAGCCCAGGAGTTGGAGGTTGTTTTGAACTATGACGCCCCAGCACTCTACCCAGGGTGACAGAGTGAGACTCTGTCATAAACAAACAAAAAAAAAAAAAAGAAAGAAAAGAAAAGAAAAATTATTAGTAAGTTTCCAAAGCAAATTGATGTTGAACTGACAATATGCAATTTGCCCAGGCAATTTGGAGTTGAGACATGTATGTGTATTTATTAAAAACTCCCACTGTGGCTCCAGGAGTAGGGCGCCAGCCCCCTATGCCGGAGGTGGTGGGTTCAAACCCAGCCCGGGCCAAAAACTGCAAAAACAAAACAAAACTCCCAATGCAGTTCTGCAGCACACTGCAGTTGGGAACAACTGCCTCATGTCATTTCTAAAAACCCATAATTAAAATGAGGGTGGGAGCCGACAGGCTGCTTGGTAACCTAGAAAGGTAAGCTGATGTCTGCAGATACTTTCAAGTGAACTCTTTGCTCTGGGAAATCTTTTATCTTAGTTTGAGTAATACTTCAGTTGTATTTTTTCTATGAATACAGCTACACATTTTCAGAAAATGTCAGTAAGCCTACTTAGCTACTTAGCACAGTAACATATATTCATGGTGCGCTTGTGGGGCAGAGATGGGACAGAAGTTAGATGGAGTTTCTGCCTCACCTGTTTCATTGTCTGATACAGTGATTTTCAGCCAGTATGCCACGGCTCATCGGTGGGCTGTCAGGGGATCTTAGGTGTGCTGCAAACATTTTTAAAGATCATTAATTAAATTATTTTTGAAAGAAGGTGAAAGCACAGTAAGTATATTCTATTTTTTACTCTTTTTTTGATCAACATACTTTAAGTGTGATGCAGAAGTTTAACTATGGGTTCAAGTGTGCTGTGAGATAAAAAAAGGTTGAACAACACTGGTGTAATCGAACGTTAACAGTAGTTTTCCCCCCCCCCCTTTAAAGGTGCAAAATGATCTAATGTTACAGAGCAATGGGAGCCAGTATTCTCCAAATGAGGTAAGTTTCCTGAAGATTAACGTAAGGTGAGGTCTTTCACGAAGACTGAATTGGAATATCTTTTGCAGAAATAGATAATCGAAGACTGTTGTGATGAATGAGTTCATCAAGGAGGCTCTCGGGGAATCCATCTCTCTCTCAATACCTACCATAGCCTTGCCTGACCCTATTCAGAATTAAAGATTAATTTTTATAAGATGTATTTTTTAAACCAAACATGGAAACATCTTTACAAGAAAACAGAGTGAAAATTGCTCAAATAGGCAAAATTTAGAATGCCGTGAGAGTCAGCGTATGGTTTCTCTGTTGTTGAGACATCTGTTCAGTGTTATCTGTTTCCTCACCTCATCCTCTGAGTTATGAGAGTTTTCATCAGATCTTTTTAATAAAGGGGTGTGCGTGTGTGAGCTTATGCACACAACTGGGCTACAGGAGGATCGCCAGTTTCATATGATTATAAAATATTTTTAGAATGAAATATTTGGGGGTGATCCATTTAATAAAAAATTGAATGGGTCACCCCAAGACAGTATTCTGTTGATGATGCCATTTAAAATATTTGCAAAGTTTTTTTTTTAGCCAGTACTAAGGCACCAAATGCAAAATGATGGTGGTTTTATTATAATCTTTAAACATAGAAAAGCACACATAGTTTTGCTTCAGGTTTCCCCCTCCTAATTTCCTTTCCTTCTGACACCACAGATCAGAGAGAACTCCCCTGCAGTCTCTCCAACCACAAACAGCACGGCTCCTTTTGGCCTGAAGCCTCGATCAGGTAAAGTAAAGCGTTGGCCCATTCTTACATGAAATAACTCAGTGGTTTCTCTTGAGCCTTTTCAATGTCTGAATTATCAATGTGAACATCCTTGTCAATTTTGTGGAGTTGAAATCCTGGCATCAGAACTGAAGCCGGGGAGGGTTTGGAGCTCTGTCTCCAGTAAATCAGCTGAGTCCATGCTATCAGTAATGGATATCTTATTTTCTTTGGAATCAGAGCAAAAGAAAGAGAGATGGTGGGAGCCTATAAATGGGAAAAAAATACACTATTGAATATTTTTGCACAAGGAAGATAAAAATAGCTGCCCTTTTGCCCCAGTGTCTCCTGGTGCTCTGCTGAGTGAAAGGGCAGCCTCCTGCCTCCGGGAGAGTCTCCTTTCTAAGACATCCACATTGCTTTCTGAGCCTGGTGGGTCTATGATTTACTCACATACCAGGGTGATCGTATGAGTGTTCAGGAGTCATTAAAAAGGTATTTGGGGAAAACGTTATTTACTACATTTAAATGTTACTGGTTTATTTATAAAAGTAAGTGAAAGCAATCCATAGAATGTCTGTTGCTTTTAAAAAGAAGGATTCTGTACCAAAAAAATCTGGTTCTTCTGATTTCCTCATTTTTTTAAAGTTCTCTTGCTGTCTTTCTTCTTTTAGGTCATTGCTTTAATATTTTTGACTGTTTAGCCTACACTCACGACTAATGCTTTTAAGCAAATGCTAATAAAGGTTTCAGACTCTTTTAAGCAAAAGCTGGTAAAGAACTCACATGGTCTCAGGCTTTCCAGTAAGGCATTTTGACAACAGTAAAAATAATACAGATGTATATTTTGAAAGAGGGTGCCTGTAGGAGAAAACAAACAAAGGGTGATTCTTCAGGAAAGCAAACTTTTTTTTCATTCTTGGAGCTGGTTGATTGACAGGTAGCATATGGCCAGTCTACTGGTTTCCCGGCAGTTTGAATGGGCTGTAGGACAAAAGCCATTTGGTGTGACAAGAGTTAGTGGGTGTTTTATGGAGAGCCAAATCAGACACGAAGTTAGACTCAAATGGCTGACCTCTTTGTGTTTGGAAATATGCATGCATGACCAGATGTGGGCTGAGGGCCCCGAGCTGGGTTTCTGTTCTGTGGTCCCAGGTGTGTTCTGGGAGGAATGGAGGTGAGTCTGGGCATAGCTCATCTCTGCCTGCAGTGGTGACTCCCACCCCCCAGATAAGTATATAGACTTATCTCTATATCCTGAGGACCTCATACTGGGCTGCAGACTTTCTCCTCATCCTTGTAGGAAGTTTTGCACGATGTTAAAATATTTCATAACTGAAAAGATCAAAAGGCAAATGGGTCTCCAAAGAAGAATAGTCTTTTGAATGCTCAGCTTGCAATCGAGTCATACAGTCATGTCAGTGACTTTTTTATTCCTTTTATGGAGTCTAAACTCAACTTATCAAAGTTAAGGTTTGCATTGTTCTGGCACTGTGAAATCATTTCACATTCTTTGTAATGGTGAAATATAAATGGAGTATGGATTTTCAATAGTAGAAAACAAAAATCGTTTTCTTTTCAAGCTTTCCAGCCTTTTCTATAATGCTGACTCACCAATGTGGAAATCGTTCTAGCTGTTGAAAGCTCCGTGGAATTTGGTTGCTGTAAATAATACTGATTTATCTTCAGGAACATCATGTGGCATGTTGGAAATTCCTAAAACTAGCATTATTTGTTGGAATTTTTTGTCTATTTGATTTAGTGATTTTTAAATTGTATAGTATCTGTTTTTCACATTTTCAGGAAAATAGTATACACGGGTATCTCAATTGGAGATCATATGATTTTAAAAGATAGATTTTTGACGGAGTTGCGTTAGAATGCTGAAAGCCAATTTTTACTTTAAAATTAAGTATGTGGATCTATGCGATTTCTGTTATCAACAAACCAGACCGCCCAAATTAGCAAGCAGGAATAACTTAGATTCTTAAAGTAGGCTGACAATTTTCTTTAAAATCAATGTTTTTTTTTCTTTTTCTGTCTTTTTCCTGCAAAGAAAAGACAACTGCACAGACCAAAGTATTCATTCCTCGAACCATGTCCATTTATCTTACTGGATCTGCCTTATGATAGAATAAAAAATTGTGGAGCTATTTCCTAAATGTGGAATTGTCATATGTCTATGTACTGTAAAAATAACAGATGCTGTTTCATAAATGACTGACCTAGAATTTATTAAAATTGACTGATATCTATTGCTTAGTTGGGTTCATTGCTGGATAGACTCTACCAGTGTCTCCCAAATTGGGTTTTTTGTTTGGTTTTTACTGAACAACGGTGAAAACAACATTGAAAGTTATGTCGGCTCGGTGCCTATAGCTCAACCGGCTAAGGCGCCAGCCACGTACACCTAAGGTGGCGGGTTCGAATCCCCAGCCCGGACCCGCCAAAACAACAATGATGGCTGCAACCAAAAAATAGCTGGGCATTGTGGCGGGCGCCTGTGGTCCCAGCTACTTGGGAGGCGGAGGCAGGAGACTCGCTTGAGCCCAGGAGTTGGAGGTTGCTGTGAGCTGTAATGCCACGGCACTCTACCCAGGGGGACAGCTTGAGGCTCTGTCTCAAAAAAAAAAAAAAAAAAAAAAAAAAGAAAGTTATGTCTATAGCAAGGATTGAGGAAATAGTTGGCTGGAATGCATGACTGCAGACCTAAAAAGAAATTGTACATTGCCTTGGGGAAAAGAAAGCACTAACAGTCAAGAATGATGCTATAATAGTTTTATTTCTAAATAACAGATATATTTATACATACTCAGCTTTGTCCTATGTGACCCTATTTTGTGTGAATCCTATTCGCTAAGATTGTTAGTATTTAGAAAGTCTCTGAGAGAGGTATCTGGGAGCTTTGACTATTGTCTACTTAACCTGTGGGGACTCTCTCTTTCTGCTGACCTATTCATTAATACTCTAAGACTGTGGGCTTACAGAACTGTTAAGATTAACGATATTAACTGCATGCAAAGTGTATGTCGATGAGTACTAACACTCGGTTTTTATCATTCTTTTTATTCCATGCGCCATCTTTCATTCTTCTCCTATATTGTACGTTTGAAATTAAACCCTGTATAAATGAAACCCACTCTTCATTTCCATACAAACCCTATGCCATGTGTGAAATGCTGCTGCCCCTTTGGTTTTTCCTGGTCCTTGTGCAACTGTACGCGGACTGGCTCTCTGGCTCCCCTGCAGACCCAGCCCTCATTCTTCCTCCTATCTCCTTCAACACACTTACACAGGCACAGACATGGGACAGCTCTAGCTACAGTGTTCCATCTGAAGGGGACAGTGACAATGGTAGGTGACTTTGTACCTATTCTCTGATGTTCTCCTTAAGAAGCCAGTGAGAATACTGAACTTTCTGTTCTGTGCAGCTGAAGACAGAGTCTATTTGTCTGCATGCTTGATGTAAGAAATAAAGAGTAAGCCTGGAACACGAAGTCCAGAAAAGTGCATGTGGATTGTTCTCCAGCAGTTGGTCCAATACGGTTTAATGATCTTGAATGTTCTGAATTTATTTGGGGAGGACTTTATAATCCTCTCTGTCCCCGCCTTTTGCTTGGGTTTTTGGTTTGCTTGTTTATCGAGGTTTGGGGTTTGCACATGTGGATTCTCTCTGCCTGCTCCTCCATCTGAACTGAATGCTGTTAGAGTCTGATCTTGTGTCGTTTACGTTTACCATAGGAGAGTTTTAAGGTAATTAAAATGTACTTCTGCTGACCCTCGAGTGCTGCACTGAAAATGTTAATGTTGAAACATTTCTAAAGATGAAGAGAAATCATTTGCCTTCTCTTTTTCCTCAAATGATTGGCATGTTTTGATTTTTGGCACCTTGAGTGTGAGTTCTTCTATTTAATATTCATGAATAGTCACTTAGCCTGAGAATCAAAGGCAGAAATAAAAAATTGGGGACACTCAGCTGGGGTTACTGTAGATATCTTTTAGTGTTGTACCATTAGATATGTTCAATAGCCTAAGAGATGCAAATAAAGGAAATATTTTTAGCTAGGTGTACATACCACATAAATCTTAATCTCCATGCTAGACTGATGCTAGTTCAGATTTTTCACATTTTACTTTGAGATACAAAGTGACCGTGCTCATGTTAAATGGAGCAGAACATGTGACTTACAGGGACATTAGATGGGAAGGATTCCCACAAGGCAAAAGCAATGGGAAAAGATGTTTTCTGATAATACTTATCTTTTTATCCTTATTATAGATAAGACTTAGAAAATGTATATTTAAATACTTGCTATGATTTTTAGCTAAAATCCAACTAAAAATTCTTTTACCCTTTCATTATGAGGAAGGATAATGTGTACTTTGGCAGGTTAGTTATAAAAGCAATTTTAATATTTCATAGATTTCTAAATTTTTACACTGAAAATAAGTATAAGTAAAAAACAATGATCAGGAAACAGAAGACCCTTCTACTACCCTGTTTTAAAGTCTGGAAGTTGAAGAGGGCTAAATGGAAACTTTCTTGATAAACTTTCTTTGCTTCAAATGTTTAAAAAAAGAAAGGAGGGGACGCATTTTTGTTTTTCAGAAGGCATCGCTATTTATAGTCTGATGTTGTTTAAGGGAAATAAGGCTTAGAATGAAAGATTTATGTGTGGTTTGGTATTTCCTTAGGAATGGTATCTGAAACCAAAGGACTTTTTTCCTTTGTCTTTTTTTTTTGTTTGTTTGTTTTTGGAGAGTCTCACCCTTTGCCCCGGGTAGAGTTCTGGGGTGTCATAGTTCATAAGCAACCTCAACCTCAAACTCCTGGGCTCAAGTGATCCTCCTGCCCCAGCCTTCCTTGCAGCTGGGACAATAGGCTGGAGCCACTGTGCCCAGCCAGAGGACTTTTTTTAAGTTGGGAAAAAATTAGATATGTCCCAGCAGAATTTGTATCCTTATAGATGAACTGACAAAAACCAGAAAGGTGAGGTGAGCTGCCTGGGTCGCCCTGAGGG